TTCTCTTGAGTATTCATATCCATCAGCATAAAGGTGTTTCATTCATAAATGGGCTTACTCCCTTGAAGGTTACCACCTCATCGTGGATCATCTCTTGGACTTTTTCTTGGAAAACCTTGCACTCTTCAATTGAATTCCCCATTGCTTCATCATGAAATTCACAACTGGTACTAGATTGAACCAAAGAGGGCAAGATTTCATGGCACTAGTCTTTCTGGGTGTCATCACCGAGTTTCGAGCAAAACAAAACCATAATTGACTGTAAGTCGTTGGGATTGGATCAAATTTCCTTTGGGCATGACTCTGATGTATTCTCTGATGAAATTGTGATTGACAATTCGAAATTACCTGAGTGGCATGAGCAACATCAACAGGAACTTTCTTACCACCTTCCAGCATGGTAGCATCTTATCCACAAGGAACAGGAGAGGATTTCTTACTGTTGCAAGTAATCACCACTAACTCTGGCATATTAAAGTGTGGAACTATGACATTCACCATTTCTCTAGTGATATGAAGAAGTTTCTGATCCAACATATCCTAGAGATTCCTCTTCACAACAGAACATCCATGGGGATTCTTTGAATAAATTTTTCAAGAAGCTTTATTATGCTCTGTTGCGGTGAGAATCGGATACCAAGCTATTAATTAACTTGAATCACAAATCATGAAGTTCACCACCGAGCTTTGATTTATCCAAAGGAAAGGGTAAAGATCGAAGAAAACCCTAATTGGGCTACGTAACAACGAATCTAGAGATCTAAGGTTCGGGGGTTGGTTATACCTAGGGAAGGTGTTAGCATCCTAAGTATCTGTAGTACTCTACAGGAACGTCTTGTTAGTATTTGTGTTATGCTAAAGTTGCTTTCTAAGGTAAATGTGCTAAGGTAAAGACCTAAGGGTATATACACTAAGTATGCTTGCCAAGACGTCGCATTTCGTGCCTACGTATCCTGACTAGGATGGAATCAGAGCAACCATAGTTCACCTAACTAGGGACGAGGAACTCTTGATAACGATCAAGGTTCCAAAAGGGAAGAAGTACTTATAACCACGGTACTTACATGGAGTTAACGAACTCCCTAAGTCTAAGTTGAAAATTAACTAAAGGTTGACTTTAACGAAAGTCAAAAAGGGGAAAGTGAGTAATCATAACGATGATGCTCACGTAGAGTTTACAAACTCTAAACCTAATTCTAAATTACAAGGAAAAATGGCTCTAACGAGGCCAACGGGGAGATCCTAACAAGGTCAAGCGGGGAACATAAAAGCTATCAAACTACCCTAAGGGTATGACTTACAAGTCAACAAAGAAACCCTTCCTTTGGAATGTCAAGAGAATACAAAAACTAAAGCAAACAACCACACAAAGTATAAATAATAAATATAAGATTAGAACAAGCTAAAGGGAGATTCGAAACCAAAGTCAAAACTTCAACCTCATAAAATTGGAAATCAAATTGACTAGTGATCTAATCATCAATAATTGAAATTATCAAACTACTAATAACAAACCTAGAAACTATCAAATTAAAACATAATTAATTAACCTAGAAATTATTAAGTAAAAAAAACTAACTAATTCGTCTAGCAACTATTAAATTAAATCACAACTTTAAATGACCAACTACTAATTAAAAAAAAAGTATTAAGCCAAAAAACTAACTAAACATAACCAAACCAAAAAGCAAAACTGATATGGGCTGAAGGAAAGAAACAGCCCAAATCCAAAGCTGGAAGTTGACATGAAGGGTCCTGACCGCATGACCCGATCTGGATGACAACGGAAATAGATGAAGAAAATCTGACATCGAGTGAGCATGAAAGGGGAGAAACAACGAAGCTCAAGCTTGAACATCAATGGAAACCGCAACAAATTGACGCAACGACAACGATCGAACACTCTCCTAACTTTTCAAATCGCGACTCAAATCTTCCTTTGAACCAATCTCGGTCTGTTTCTCATTCTCTTCGCACGGTGGACCTCTCTGGGTTTGGCTCTTCTCAATCGCTCTCCTATTCTCTCGATTCGCAAACCTCCGATCAAAGCTCACCTTCTAACGCCCAAGATTTCACAGAAGAATGCATTCTAGGCTCACAGATAAACAAGCTCAAAATTGGAGATACGTACCAGGGAGGAATTCTGATGCGGTGGTTCCCTTATTATGGCGACGACGATCAATTCGTAAGTATCCCTTCTTTCTTTTCTCCTATGTTCTTCCTCAGCTTTGTCTAACTCGTGATTCACGGATTTTTGTGCTGAATGGGTTGCTCAACAATGTTGAAGCATAGATGATGAACCTGTTGATGAGGTATGATGAAGGTTTTTATTGCGAAGCCAAGTTGGTGGTGTCTGGTCCGGAAAAGAAATGCGTGAAGATGACGGTCAGAAAAAAACACGGAAGAAGGTTGAAAAGGATGAATTTGGTGGTTGATGAATTGTGAGGATCTGAACAAGGGTTGCTAAAAGGGGGTCGCTTTTGTTGTAATGGTGATTGGGAGCAGGTTGTTGTTAATGTGATAGAAGATGGAAGAAGATTTTTTTGAGACATGATGTTCTGAGCTTGCATGAGGCAAAGAGATGTTTAGAAAATGGTGTGGTTTAGGAAGTAATTGCAGTTGGGTGAAGGTTTCACGATGGATCCACGATGAGTTTTGTTTATTGGGAACCAAAACCTGCAACAGAGGTGTTAATGAAACGAAGGTGATGTGTGTTCAACGATGGAGGTTGAAGTGTTATTGGCAATGGAAAAGTGTTTGATGGTGTAGCAAAAGGAGAGGTGTGTTGTTGATGACAAAGAGTGTTGTGTGTTACTGTTGTCGGCGAATTACGGTTTAGATGTTGATCTAGTTCAAATTACAATTGCTTCATCAGAATAGGAGGTAATAGAGGTTGAGTTAAGGATCTTGGCGCGGGAGTGTCATTGTGATGAGGAAAAGTCTGTTTGATTATTTATGGGGTATGGTTATAGAAAGATCAAAGAAGGTTTATATATTGGTATCTTTTGAAAGGAGTCTCAAGGTTTTTGTGCGTGTCGTCCATTATTGTGAAGCCTCTTGTTTGGAAAAGATTTGTTCTTTCTCTAGTTTTGATACTCTATGGATGTGTAACTGGTTTTTAGCCTGATAATGAAAAAAGATGGTGTGGTGCGAATGGGATTCAAATATTGATGAAGGGGGAAGAAAAAAAAAGAGTAGTTCGTTGGAATCACAGTAAGAGTGTGAGGTGAGTGTTGTTTAGAAAATGGTGCGGTTTAGGAAGTAATTGCAGTGGGGTGAAGGTTTCACGGTGGATCCATGGTGAGTTTGATATGTGTTCATGACTGATGGAGTTTAGGGAGAATTTATGAAGGAGAAAATTATGGTGTTTCTTATGTGTCAAAGGGAATGTTCAAGGAAAATGGTTATGAAGCAATGTTGCTTTTTATGTTTGATGGTTTTTTGAGGGTTTTAGAGTTTATGAAGGTTATTGTGAAATGAAGAAGAACAGAGTTTCATGAAGGTTCTTGTCCTGAGGGCTCTTGGATGTTCCCCCCTTTTGAAGATGAGTATTCGGTTGTTTATGGTGAGGGAGAGATTCGAAACTGTGGTGTTATTTTCCTCTGTGCAACAGACTTTTATCAAGGTTATCCAGAAATGATGATGAAAGTCCTTTTAAGGTTTTTTCTGATTAAACTCTGATATACTAAACTTTCCCTTTTGTGAATTCTGTACCACTGTAACTGCCTGGCAATGTCTAATTTCTCTGATGTTTTTATTGCACTTTTTTGAAATTATCTGATGTATTGGCTGTTCTGTCCAAATTGGCTTGTGTGGTCTTTATCTTCCCTTTTGACTTCCTCTTTTTTACCTCAATGATGTTTGTGTTTTTCTTTACAATATTTGCACGAAACAGGATAGCACAAAGTTCGCGTGAATGGATTTTGGCTTTCGGACTTATTGATTTTGAATTGAGTATGGTTCTGCAAGAGTTTTGGTGAATAGATGTCCATTATTTTGCAGCGGTTTGTAGCTGTCATGGAGATGTGTTGTTGCTGTCAAGTAGCAGTGGTGTCAAGGTTTGATGCAGGTCTTAATGGTCAGACAAAGTGCACAGCAGGAATTGGATTGATAGCTTGGCCAGGGTCTCATTACTTTTCCTTTTTGTTTTGTCTTATGTGTGCAGGCTTTTCAATAGGTTTAATATGCGAATTTTTTTCCACCCTGCCATACTTTTAGGATTTATTCACCATAATGCCATCAATTTCACAATATATACTAAAATACCATGTTTTCAAACAAAACACAATTTTTGCATAAGCATGCCCGCCCTTGCAATGGGCGGCAGTGAAGAAAATGAAGGAGAACCGCCCATTCATTGGGCGGTAGAGTGCATTCCTATTTTTTTTTTTCGTTTTAATTAATGTATGTAGTTTTAATAATTTAATTTAATTTAATTAATAATAATATATATTATTATAAAAATATTAATATATATAAATATTAATATATATAATTATTAATATATATTATTATAAAAATAGATTAATAATATAAATTTTAATATATGTTAATATTAATAATATTAATATATATTAATATTTATATTAGTAATAATATAAGTATTAATATATATTATTATAAATATATCTTAATATATATTTTTAAATATTAATATGTAATATTATTAATATATATTATTATTAAAATAGATTAATAATATTAATTTTAATATATATTAATATTACTAATATTAATATTTATGTCATTAATAATATAAGTATTAATAATTTTAATAATAATATATATTTATGTTAATATTATTAATATATTTTAAAATTAATATTAATGATATTTATAATATTAATATACATTAATATTAATAATATTAGTATTTATTAGTATATGTATTATGTGACACTATTATTAATATTAATTTAAATTTATATATTGAAGACATAATTTATATTGATTGAAATTATTAACTAATATTAATTAATACATGATGATTAAAAAAAGGACTAACGACTACTTGTTCCCACATTGGGACACCGGGTGCGATTGTGTCCCGTTTGACGACACATGGAACATTTCCTCTCAAGCTTATCAAAGTTATCCATTTCTGTTGTAATACGTGTGCTTACAGGGCGACATTTCTTGTTCCTCCGCATTCTTGGGTTATGGCAAATTTGATCTCCTTCATAAACAGGCCAATATTCATCGCATGGCATCACTGGAAAACTTGCGCTGTAAACCCCAAATAGGTTTGTAACCCTATAAACGTCGGACAAAAGAGTGTAAGCGTCGTGGCGCACATTCGAACATGCAGCGATAACATGTGAGCAAGGGACACGAAATGCTTGAAACTTTCCGCAGTCACACCACCCGTTCAAGAGGTCGACCTTATAATGTCCCATAGGTTTCCCCTCACCATGGTCCATTGTCTCTTGCACACTGAAAACATTGTTCCTGTAGTCAAAAATTCTTACTTGATGCGTGCTGGATTTTGTTGTTTCTTCTTTCATAACCTTGAGGCAGTTGTCTGTAAATGCTTGGCCAGAATTCAACACAGCACTCCACTTTCCACCCCTTTCAGCAAATAAAGATCCTAGTCTATAATACGTTGCCCTTACCAATGCCGTAATGGGCAAATTACGTGTGCCCTTAAAAACGGCATTCATTGACTCGACAAGGTTGGTAGTCATGTGACCCTAACGTCGACCGCCGTCAAATGCCCTTGTCCATTTTTCGGCTGGAATATTGTCAATCCACCTTAAAGCATCTGCATTTGCCATGCTAATCTCTGACCGATAGTAATGAAATGTTGGCTGGTTTAAAGCGTATCCTGAATAATTAAAATATCAAATTAAAATATTGACAAAATAATATATGTTATTGACAAAATTTAATGAATATTAAGAAATATAGTTACCCATGTTAATTATTTTTTTCCGTAGGTTCCTGTCCTTGATTTCTCTCATAAAGTTTTGTGCAATGTGTCGGATACAATAAACATGCACTGAAGGGGGATCCTGCCAACCATTTTCCACATTGTTGTATGCACTTTCAATTGAGGCATGTCGGTCTGAAATTAAACATAGATCTGGTTGTGGGGCCACATGCCTCCTTAAGTTTCTCAGAAAAAAACCCCAGGCTTCAGCGGTTTCACCTTCCACAAGGGCAAAAGCAACCGGAAATATGTTGCTGTTCCCATCTTGTGCAACTGCGATAAGCAGTGTACCCTTGTACTTACCGTATAACCAGGTTCCATCAATTTGAAGTATAGGTTTGCAATACGCAAAACCTCTGATGCATGGTTGGAATGCCCAGAATAGCCGGTGGAAGATGTGTTTCTTTTGTACTAACTGTTTCTTTTATAGGTGGTCCGCGTATGGGATGAATTACGAAAAAACACCGCATCATTGTGCTCCTGGGTATCGGACGTTCTTCGATCATTTTGAGGAAGATGATGTATTGTTTCTAGTCCCTTATTTTCTTGCTAGCACTTTCCATATTTTTTTCCTCTAATCCCTTTTTAATTATATTATAGTTTCTATGGAGACCCTATCTTGAACTTGAAGACGAGGATCCAACTGAAAGCGATATGTGGAGTTCTACAACATTCATAATTTCTTTCACTATTGTTGAAATGCATCATTCAGATAGGGTGAAACTCCAATTCGGAATTAAACAAGACATTCCTGGTCCACCTACATGCATGGATACGTACCACAAAAGTGTAGCGAGCGACCAATGGAAATTCGATGATTGGAGAGACCATAACAGACAAGAACGACAACAATGGATGGATCGTCGCCGCACTGTTCTACGAGGAAATGTCATGGATGCCGAATGTAAACCAAGTAGAGAATACATGAGTTGGTATAGATCTGTGACCAATTTGTATCTATCACAAAATAGATACTTGTGGGACCCTCGAAACCAACCAACTTCATCAAACTTCCAAAACACCCCCTCCATGACTTATGACACCCAACCACCAATATTTAACACCCCACAACAAATATTTAACACCCCACAACAAATATTTAACACCCCATTCAACCCAAACCCAACACAACCACCTTATACCCCAAGCCAGCACTACAATCAACCTTACACATCATTTAACCCAAACCCCTTCAACATCCAACAACAAAACCCAACCTCATCATACACCCAATATAACCAATTCTCATTCTCTCAACCTACCCAACAAGAACATAACTACCAAACACCCCAAACACAAGTTCCTTTTTACCCTTCACAAAACTTCACCCTTTCTCAAGACCAACATCCATACACACCCTACATGACTAACGCGGCGCCACCTATAAACCCACCAACTTGGAGTAATGAGGGTACGAGATTAAGTTATGGAAGTGCGGCAGCTGACGACGATTTCAATGATGATTTGGTCGCTCAATTCATGAACCCTAACAATGATGCAGGACCATCTACGCAGACCCAAAACGCTGAGGTTGATCGTAGAAGGTCCACCAGAAATGTACAAGCTCCTGCCTGTGGAACCCACCAACGCTTACGTCGACCGGGTCGAAATTAGTTAAGGGTCAATAGAAATTGTAATGTACATATTAAATTTCAAAAATTAATAAATATTTATTTTAGTTCTTTTATTGTTATTTATTTTATAAATATTATTATATATTTCTAATTCAGTTATAATTATTACTAATTAATTTAAATTAATTAAAACTAAATACATTATTTCCACATCAATTATTATTATTACTAATTAAATTGAAAATAATTAAAACTAAATATTTTAAAATACATTATTTCTAATTCAATTATTATTGTTAATAATTATTATAGTATAATAATAATAATAATAATTATTGTTATTAATAATAATAATAATAATAATTATTATTATTATTATTATTATTATTATTATTAATTAATATTATTATACTAAATAATAAAAAATAACATAAAACGAAAAAAAAAAAAAACCATTGCCCTCAACCGCCCATTGAAAGGGCGGGTGTCTTTAAATCACAACATGACCGCCCATTGAAAGGGCGGCAGTGCCTTATCTATGTTTAAAATCATGGCATTTTGGTATATAGTTTTAAAATCATGGCATTATGGAATTTTATTTGTAAAAAAGTGGCACAAATGTAAAAAATTCTTAATATGCTGCTGATGACTTTGCAGGTAGTGCAAGCTATGAAGGATGATATTTTGGGAACTACCGATATCATTGCCACCATTCAAGGTTTTTTTTCTTCCGTCACTGCAGAGAGCTCTTTGGCTATTTTAACAGCATGTGCAGCCCTTTGCACAAGAAAGATACAAGTCAATGCAGCTTCCAAGAAATTCTGGACGCCTTAATAACCTCCACCAGTTCGAAATTTAAGTGCAAATGTTGGAGAGGAAGTAAGACATACGCCAAGTAGAGTCATGACCCATCTCATACTTGTGGGGTGAACTCCTTCATCAAGAAAATATGTAATTAACTTGGAAGAAACAACTTTATGCCACTGCTCAAGCAACTCTTCTAATTTAATTGTGACTTGTAGATCAATTAGCATCTCTAGTAACATATTTCTAACAATCACACGTTTTCCCATTGATTCTCTCATAATTGGACGTTGTGGAGCCAACCCTGGTGGTTCAAATGTCATTATCACAAATCTAACCACATTTTCAAGCTCAGAAGATAAAAACCTATTTTCCAAAACAGCTCCAAGCAACACAACCAATTTTCAAGGACAGGAACTTCAACATCACCCCTTTGCAATGTAACTAGTAAATGTTGAACAAGGTTGATTTTTGTGAAATGGATAAGAAGTTAAAAGATATTGAAAGAACATGAGTTATGGATAGAATATTGAAAGAATTTCTATGAACATGGATTTATGGAAATAATATGGTTATTAAGAGAATATGAACAATTAAATAGAATTAGATCAATTAAGAAAATGGATATGAAGGATGGTTTATATATGAAGAGGATTATCGGATGAAACATGAATGAAGGAGATTAAGAAAGTGATACGGGAACGGGTATATGTAATGGTAATGCCTCCACACTTAAAATCTCGACAATTGCACTTGACCAACACATATCCTGCATACACACCGGACCTGCCAGCCTCAAGCAAGACTCAATTGAACGGCAGTTGCTGAGCATAAACATAAAAGGGTGATAAACCTTAATCTTCCAAAATCTTGATCCATAATTCTTCCATTCAATCCACTAATGAACACCCTAGACAACGACGCTCTTGTGGAAATTCAAAGAAACTGAAATCGTATCTTGATAATCCTCTGATAGGCACTGCTTATGACAATTGAAAAACCAACACCTTCGTCCCAAACTTGAGTAAAATAATTGAAAGAAACAAACTCTGAACAAAGGGAACCCATCTCAGTAGAGACCTCATATCCAAAACCTTAAATCAACCATTTTTGAAGCTTCTGAAATCTAACCCTGATTCCTGAGGAATAGAGCAAACAAAGAGTCTAGAAACTCGGTTAGTTATGCAATATGACGATTGGCCTAAATGATATGCACAAGATCAAAGAATCTGAGGATAAAATTCGGGGTATGACATGCTCATAATGGGTAAGCCTTCACAAATTGACGTGCATATCAACCAAAGATCCTCTTATGGAATTCACGTGAGAGATACAGTATTCTCCGAGATATCCTTCCACAATGTTTCCATACTTGGGTAACAAACTTGTTGAGACATTGGGTCCAAAACCTTCAAAAGACAAAATACAACTTTATACCAGATTTTGTACTTCAGCTTCTAGAGCAAAATATTGTTCAATATCATGACCAGGTGCCTCTTGATGAAAGGGACAAAACGATCATACTTAAACCACCATGGTAGATTCTTTGGGATGGCCGGCGAAATTTTTGTTTGCACCAGATTCTTCTATACTAAAGCAGGATATAATTCAGAATAAGCCATTGGGATCAGGTTAAACTGATCCACATGTTGTTTACTTTTGTTACGAGATCCTCCATGTTTCTCTCGCGAAATAGCATTAACAGCTTGTTCCTTCTCCTTGGGTAAACCTTCCACAAGCTTCTTAGAGTTGTTAGAACCGCTAATGGGAGTCACAGGAATGAGCATTGGCATGATTTTAGAAATCACGGTCCTATTGAAGCGAAGTTTGAGAAATATGAGGAAAAGGTTGATTTTGAGTAGCAACCAGAGTTTCAACAAAAGCAGAAAGCCTTTCCACACCAGCCCTCAAAGTAGTCACCTCCTTACGAAGTTCATTGTTTTCTTACTCGATGTTATTCATTTTCTTTCTTTGACTGGCCCGAGTATCGTACTGATGAATTAGCTTGCCTCTTCTTTAAGGGAAAAAGCAAGAGTGAGAACCTGAGATGCAAAGAATGCAATGCAAATGACGAATGCAAATGCGCCAATGCAGATGGATTTCAAGGAACTCAAAGGTTATGTTTGCAAACACCACAAAGTGGACAATACTTTTGATAACTGAAAATCTCATTTTATTGAAAATAGGGTATAATCTCATAATCCAATGGTAAAACCTATGATGTTTGTAAGCAAAAGCTTTGAATTCCATGAAACTTTTATGAACATGATGTATGCTCAAACACAGGTATACACAGATCCACATATACACATACACATTCAAACAGACAAAGACTTAGGTTTGAAAATCAACAAGCCTAGAGTAATGGTCTACCCAT